ATATATATGGATTCGTGAGAGTCATTACCTCTCACTTGACTACCCTCCCGCTACCTCCAGTAATCTTAACCTACTTTCGTCTGTATAGAGATGGTTAACATTTTTCTTACAGTTGGAACTCTAATGTCAAAGTGGCGATCATTGTATAATAGTAGCGCGAAACTTTATTTAGTTGCAAAGCTCTACTGCCTTAGCGCGGGCCAGGATTGATCGGGGTAATGTCTTCAGCTTTCAATGCTTGCTATTATTATCCACTCTTGAATTCGAACTTCTTTTTGTAATCACTAAGCCAAATATCTATCGAAGGTCGCAATAGCCAAGTGGTAACCACTGGGTACCATCGTTCAGATGGCCTGGGCTCGAGTCTTGGTTTGATCTAAATCCAAAAGTTGCAGACATTTAATATATTGCGATCGCCCTTCGGCAGGGAATGTTAAAACCTTCGAGTCTATTTCTGACGTGAAATAAAAACTCCATTTGTTGGAAGAGCATTCAAGCGCGAAAGTACAAAATGAAAGAAAAGAGCTTGCCCTAAAATCGCTTCAGCGACTACAAAGCTCGAATTATATATTATAGATGAGGCATATATCTGGATTTTGGTTAGGATTATGGTAGACTGCTCGACCCTTATAGTATGTGATCATATGAAGGTGGAGACTAAAGCTCAAACATCTTGGTTCTTGGTTCAATCAGTCTCAGAAAGCATTTTGCCGACGTTTAGATTCTTCCGAACAGATGATATGCTTGGCTAAGTGGAGTCCAGTACTGGGAAAACTCGTTCAGATTCTTGCTCAAAGAAGGGAGAGATGGAGATATCAAAACATCAATATATATTTTTTCTCGAAAACAGTTATGAAACTCAGATTGTTCTGCAATACCACATTGATCTAATTAACTTCGCCAATGCTTTAAGTCAGTTGACGTGCCTCCTTCCTCAAATAATTATTAACATCAATATCCCTAATATAGAAGTATGATGGCTCTCCCGTCAATGGATCTGGCAAGAAGTCAGTTGCTGGCATCAAGATTTTCGGTTGCGGCAACGGTAGAATCTCTCTTACATTTCAAGTTTGATTGGGTTTGCTTATGAGCGCGCCCTTCGGTATGACGAGACACCAACTGACGAGTAGTTACCGCCGAAGTTGAGGGACGACGACTCTTTTCGTTGTTTAGATTTTCGAGGTACAATATATAATATGTATATACCAAATCGTGCATTTGGTTTTACCGAAGTTAACGCATATGTACGCCTCGAGATGAGCGTACCCGTATGATGGTATTGTCTAGCGCGTGATTCAACGATCAGTATCGATGGTATGCGCGTAGCTATGACTGGCTGTAACACAGTGTTACGTTGTGAAGTTAACTTTCGTTTATAGTGGGTCTTCTGCTGATGGCTGCCTGATTGGTTTTGTGACGTCATAAAGACCGACAGCTGGTATAAAGCTTTAATTTACGATAAGACACTCGTGAGATTCTCAGGCATACACGATCTGCGCAGAAAGAATTGCGAATTTGGTTGCGGCGTGCGAATGCGTGACTCGCTGTTTGGAAAGGAGGGGCCAAAGGTAGAAAAGGTAGTCGTGCCAAAAAGATAATAGCTAAAAATAATCACCCTTTATAATTCCACAGCTTAAACCACTGAACGTAGAGACTTGAGACTTGGAGGGTGTGTTCGGCGCTCAATAAGGAAGGATTTTTCTGAAAGTAGACCTGCGGCTGATCTATAAAAAAAAGTCGTATTTAACGTTTGATTTACATATAATTGGTTTAAGTGGTAGCTTTTGGGCACAAATTAGCATTGGCGGCTATTTTTCTTCTGGAAATTGGCTCTGAGACCGAACTTTTCGAAAATTTAAATTGTACTTTTAGTCTACTATACAGAAGAAACTGTATATATTCTGTATATTTCTTAGGATTTCATACCATCGGAAGGAATTACCGAACCTTCAAATTATGCTTTGCAATAACATTAGCAAAGCTCAAGGCCAAAGTCTTGAGATAGCAGGAGTAGATTTTAAATAAAGCTGATTCTACCATGGCCACGTGGTATTATGTGTGCTTCGGAGTAAGCTCACAGTGTTCTCTGATGATTTTAGCACCTCACGGTGAAATAGGTATGTTTACTTAAACCTTAAATCTCTACAAAATAAGTATGTTTTATAAGTATTCAAGAAACTTCTTAACATTTTTTTGTATTAACATAAATTAGATATCCTAGTAACTAACTTAGTTCTTTATTGAAGGCATTTTCAAATACCATGCGGGCGAAGTCGTGGGTAAACTCTAGTTTTTAATAAATCCATAGCCTTTAACTATTATTATTGTGCTCCTTTACCTCCTCAAACCATTTCATCCAAAGCACAATACAATAAATATTCGCCTATCCATAAATACTTACAGTTTTGTTGTAGTTTTCTATAACGACTGCACAAACTCGAGCGCCGCAACTCGGAATAGCCTTACATGCCACAAGTTTTGTATTTTCTTCCGCCAGCCAGTCAGCCAGTCAGCCTGAGGAATAAATAACTCTGGATGAATAAGTGTACTTGTGTATGTATCAGTAAGGGTATGTGCCTGGGTGTCTGTATGTGTGTATGTAGATGTTTAAAAAATATTTATTTGCAGTTAATCGAAGATTTAGTGCATGCAATGCAATTTGCTGCCTTTTGGGCGGCACGTTCAACATCTTCATCTTACTTGCATCGTTGTAGTCAGCCATAAAGTCATATACTACTAAATTCTAAAAGTGGCTGAAATGTGCAAAATTGTTTTTTGAAGTTTATGGTTACTCTTGGTCGGTTAATGTACGAGTATGTAGTACGAGTATGTGTTTCATGTTGAGGTTAATAAATAAATATATACATATATACATGTAAGTAATAAAGAGTAGTTGATATATGAGGAAGAAGTGGCGAGAAGATTTAGTCGTACAATTTTACAAATATTTGAAGAGAAGAATTTAAAGGCAATTTTATCGAAATTAATTGCATTAACTGAGTTAGATGGCGTTTATATTCAATGGAAAGAAGCATCAATTTATAGATTTTACCTGCTTTGAAACCTGCTTTGGTCATCACTTGTCTCTGCAAAACTAAATATCCAGCCGCCACGAAACAAGAATTACTTCCGGCATCTCAAGAAACGTTTTCTTCATATTCGAAAAATTTATGCGCCCGCAATTCTAATGTAATAGAAGCCAAATATTTTACTGCCCATTTTGACCTTTGACCTTTTGTGTGTGTGTGTTATGTCCTCTAGAAAGCCACGGAATGTACGCAACTCTGTTTAAAGTGTGGCCATGTTCCAAGGACGCGTTAACGAGCTGGTTGACGCAGTGTGAGCTTTTCTATACTCCATGTTTTGGTCATTTCCCAGATCCAAATGCCTATGCAGGATTTTCAAAACTTTTGTGGGGTACAATTCAACTCCCTGGACTATCATTAACCACATAGACGATTCTAGTGGAATCAACATTCGGCGCCAGTTGGAAGCGCCAAATAAAGTTGAAGGTCTTCATCCTCTTCTTCCTCTTCCTCTTATTCCTCCTCTAATTCTTCCGCTTATTCTTCCTCTTATTCTTCCTCTTCCTCTTATTCTTCCTCTTATTCTTCCTCTAATTCTTCCGCTTATTCTTCCTTTTCCTCTTATTCTTCCTCCTCCTCTTATTCTTCCTCTTTTACTTTCCTCTTTTCCTTTTCCTCTTTCTCTTTCTCTTTCTCTTTCTCTTTCTCTTTCTCTTTCTCTTTCTCTTTCTCTTTCTCTTTCTCTTTCTCTTTCTCTTTCTCTTTCTCTTCATCTTCATCTTCATCTTCCTCTTTCTGTTTCTATTCCTCTACCTCCTTCTCTTCCTCCTCCTCTTCTTCTTCCTCTTCTTCCTCTTCCTCTTTCTGTTCCTCTTTCTGTTCCTCTTTCTCTTCCTCTTCCAGGCACTGTATCGACATTTCTCTGAACTAGAGAATTTTAGGTCCGTCCAGACGATATATCATAGCCGCTATCTCTTATTCGTTGATACAGTGATATTTGCCCACGTATATCTCGTACATCCCAGCATTCCATTATCGGTGGTATTCGCCGTCGTCCATAAGCAGTGCACGGATCTTCTCTGTGTTTACTGACACGCGATCTTTTTTCGACTCGATCCAAAAACAAAATAGCTTGAGCAATTTTTTTTTCTTCGAACTCTGGTACTACAGACGTTCGTTCACAAAGAAAACAGTTCAAAACTACTGCAAGAAGACTTGAGAAGAAGAACAAGAAACTTAAGCTTAAAGCTTTCCGCAACTTACGACGATTTAGTGGCCAACGTTGGATATTTCAGTTGAGTTTTTGAGTTGACAAACTCGATACTCCAATTTATGTAACAGAGTGACCTGAGCTATACAAATATGGAGGAGGGAACTGATAGATAGCGCAAATCAGGTCTCATTCGTAGGCGAGTTGTTCCTTAGGGTGCCAAAAAATGGAATTTTAAAATCTGTGCGAGTTATAGTGGAAAACAAGTTCTTCATATCTGTTATATACCACGGGAGATACAGTGATCCCTAAAGCATTCGTGCTGATTTAGGAATAGAAAATAGTTCCATGGAAAAGATCGATTTTCAGGGGCTCTCCCGGTATCACAATATAATTTTGTCCAGTCCAATTGGAACTTCAAGACGTGCTAGCAAAACGAATGTGCCTAAAGTCAACACCAAGGACAAGAATTAAATAGGCACGTACGTATTTACTCGCATGCCCTCAACTTTTCTACAGTTATCCAAATTCATTAGCGCGCACGGCAATACTAAGTAAGGCCGAAGATCGGACGAAAAGTCAGGAGCGAAGAAGTTGACGCTCTCAACTGAAGGAAGGCTGTCGCACTTACAGAATTCTTTTCAACAAATTCTAAGACAGTTTTGGCTATGTCTTGGGTATTAGACTGGTGGTGAGCACCCATATCAAGTCGGCAACGGTGAAGTAGGTTCTGGACTGAACCAAGGCATTAAAAGACGTGAAAATTTTAAAGTATTGAAATACTGTTCATTATTTGTTATATTTCTTGATAAAATTCTTACTAATCGTCTTCCTCATCATCAGTGGAATGCGCTAGGTTCGATTGTGGGCTTAAGAAGTCTCGTATATCAATTGATTTGTTATAGTAAACCGGTGGCTTGTAGGCTATACCCGGTTTCATTTCCGGCAGTAAGTCCTTACGTGTTACCAATAACTTCGGACCAGGTAGTGGAGGGAATTTCATGGCTCTACGATGCATCGGTTCAAAGGTAGAATGCTTAGGCACGGGCTGAGCGTAAACTTCTGACTTTATATCCGTCAAAGGACGACGTGTGACGGGTTGATCGCGAAGTCGGCGTTCAGGTGGTAGAGTACTCTTTATTTGCTGCATTTGTTGTACACTGAGTACTGCCGCGCGATAATCCAAATTAGAGAAACGTCGCGCATTACCGCCGAAGCCAAGTTTTCTGCTGCCCTGAGTCAATTGTCGACGCATCGCCACTTTGATGATACAATTAAAGCGTACTTTGGGTTTCGGTAAATTTTGAAAATAACGCGGTAGATCTGAAAGCCGCCTCCTACGCGGCTCAATTATCATCTTTATGTATCTGTAGTCATGAAATTGTTGTATCGATTTTTCCATGGGTTTTCTTTTATTAGAAGGCTCCAGTGGTTTTGGCTGATGCTTCTTTGCGCCGGGCAAACGAAAGACGTACGTATGCCCATGACCGGGGACGTGCGTGAAATCGGGTGCACAGTATAAATGCGCTTTTATCTTCTTATATGGTTTAAGACGAAACCTTTTACGCTTCTCACGGTCGATCAACAGCGGTAGACCCGGTGTAAATATTTTCTTGCCACAAGCACAATGTTTCGGAAAGCGTACTTCGTAGCGACCAACAGCAGGTTGAAAGCTCAAGTGACGCGGTATGATGCTAGTGAGCTTCTCTGGTACGCAAGATTTGGGCAGAAATAAGTGTGGGTTCGGTTTTGGTGTATATTTAGCTCGCGGCCTGTGCTAGAAGATAAAGATTTAGTGAGAGCGTAGGTTAGTTTCAAGCAACCGACATACAGTCTATGCGAGATCGTATGCGAGGCAACGTTATAGTGCGCCGGTGATGGCTCTGTGGATGGACGATAAACCAATGTTGGATCGGTTAACATGCAGCGGGTGGTGGGCCGTCGCAGGCGTGCATCTATGCGGTGGGGGTTAACAAATTTTATAAGTTCGAGATCTCTTTTTTTTATAAAAAATCACAAAACTTACTGCTTAAAAACACACCCTTGTGCCTGTTGCACGGCTTATTGAAGCGTTCCGTCCATTTCGATACCACAACATTATACAAACGCCATTTGCCGCGTTCTTTCGGTTTAGGCGTAAATTTTATATATTCCAAGAAATTCACTTCAAACTCCTTCGGCAGCTTCTTCCAATACGCGCCGCGCATGCCGCGTCGACTCTCATAGGGTGTGTAACGCGTGTCATAGATATTCGGCGGCAGTTGGTTAGCGCTCGATGCGTGCCCATAACGCGCCGCTTCGGCCATTCTTCTGCTGGGGCAAGCGCCAATACCCCTGGGATAATCACCCAAAAGCTTTCTAGCTTGATTTTTCGTGCGCGTCTGTTTGCTCTTCTCTGTAGAGGAAAGTCGCATAATACTTCAACACTGTTTTGCGGTATTTATGAAACCAAAAGGCTTACCCAAAGCACAATTCATTTTATAAAATTTGCGTTTACTACGTACATAATTTGAAATTATCCTTTCATCCTTGAAGCGATTTCCTGCAATTCACACAAAGAAGGAAGAAAATTTACTTGCTCTATTCATCGATATAAAGCTTCGTGTGTACTCACGCGTGGCAAGCAGTAACGGTATATTGAGACGCTCGGAGAGGAAATTTATTTGTTGGCCCTCAAACTTTGTGGGGAGCATTTTGCTATCTTCGAGGAGAATTACTGCTGAAATTTCTTTTTAGTAATTTTTATGTGTAAATCTTATTTTATACAAAAAGGTGTAAAAAAAATTAAATAAAAAAATATATTCCTCTCTCGTGTTAAATGCAGAATTTTTTTCGAAGTACTGACATTTCTTTCGAGCAAATTCAATTATTGAGGGTTGCCAAGTGAAAACGCAATGGTTTACTAGATGATTTAGTCTATTTCGAGACCAGCAACAACATCAATAATAATGTCAACCTTGAAATCTAACGCAGAATCACTCTAACCAACAGTAGCACCTGTGGATTGCGTAGGAATTGAAAAACAAAGTCCTCTCTCGGCGAACAAAAATCAAACTGTGCAAGTCTCTTATTGGATAAGTCGCCTTGGGAGTTTTCGTGAGAAAGGTTTTGCGTAAGATTTATGTTCCTTTGCGAGTTGGCAACGGCGAATACCGCAGATGTTGAAGCAATGAGTTGTAAGAGTTAAACGATGACATTGACATAGTTTAGCGAATGAAGAGACAGCGACTACTGTGCCGTATGGATAAAATACTACTGCTCTAAAAGTATTCGAGCCGAAGAAAATGAAGACCTTCACTCTGTTAAAAGATCAGGTGATGTGCGAGCTGGGTTCACTTGGTATTTTGAACGGACGCCAAACAAGAAGAGAGGAATGGCGCAATATTGTTGAATCGGCCTTTCCAATGAAAAGGAAGAAGGTGATACATTTTGGAAGTATTATAATTAGCCTGGAGCAATGAGCCGGATGGTCATGTGCTTGAGTATCAGAATTACCATCCAACACACTATATGGACTCTTGCTTAGGGGTACTACTCTGTTCCAAAAGCAGAAGTAAAGTTCTCTTCCGACGAACAGAGACCAAACTCTATCAATCACTCAGCATTTTCGTCCTGCGTAATGATGGACGATAACAACACCCGATGGCAAACACCACGGGCGTTGAAACAACGGTATGTATGAGTTATATGACGACATTGATCTGATATTTCAAATTGGTGCCGAACAGCTAGAGAAGCAACAACGATTCCAACTAGAATTGGATAAGTGGTACCGATGCCTGACGTAGGAGAACCCCCTTTCTCTCCCTCCAAAATCGGTAGTGACTAATTTTGAGGTAGAACCTCAAATAGTCTAAAAGTTATTACAAAGGCTGAAGGTTCTGAACTTTTATATGTAAGCCAATATTCCGCGGCGGCATCCAATCGAGAATTCGTAGCCATAAAAACACCACAGTTACTAGATTTAGATGGAGAAAATGAAAACGAAAGGTAAGCCCTGTAAATATAACCTCCTGCGTTCCCAGCATCATATCTCACTAAGAACGTTACTCTTTTTATAATTTATGATATCATAGAATCTCAAGCGATACCTATGGCAATAAAGGTCATATTGCCAAATGAAATTTTTAGGGAGTTCTCAAACACAGTTAAACCCGTTTTCCTTCGTTTGCAAATTTTGGTACATCAGTTACCGAGCTCTAAAATCTAAAACTTGCCACTTTATTAGATACAGTAGAATTCTTCCAAGGCGGGTAACATCGATCTCGAACATAAAAGACGAAGCGGCTTTACGTAAAGTGTGGTATCCCCATGGCAGGAAAGGGCTCATATTAATCTACTCTCAATTCAGACGAAGCTTAAACCTGCTGTAAATTCCAAAGTGAAGAGACTGTTTGACCGAAAGTATACATATATTCGTTGTCTTAGAGAAGATTTTTTACAGCGCAATTCAAGATATCTGATCTTTGAATATCTATAGATCACACACCCGCACGCTTTAACTGAGAAACGGAGTTTCAAGTTGATTGCGCACTGAAATCTTTTGTGCTGAACTAGATTTTAGACTTTCATTAAAGATTACTATAGTATTTCCAGGTGGAAGTCTTCGTGGTAAGGAAGATCGTTGAGCTTGCTAACATCGCAGAAAACGTCACGAAAAGTACCACATATAAGCCTGGCGATAGTTAAGGTAATAATATCTCATCGTATTACATTAGGAAAGTTCCTTAGAAGCCGGAATCGAGTGGGTTAAAACGCTGTAGTAAGCAATTGCATATCGGTCGAGTTCCCCACCATAATGACTTAGTTGGGAACGATCGATGGGATTGCCAAAAGCGCTGACTGATGATCGAGCCAGTACTACTAGAAATACAAAAGCCGCTGAAAATTCTATACAATGAAATTTTGGAAAGAGCGGGAAAGCGGATTATGCTGCTTATGATTATGCAGTTGCAAACCTGATGAGTAGAATGGGCATTGAAAGCAGTGACACGTGTAGAAAGTGTAGGGAGGCAGGAATGACTGAGACATTGTAGCACCTCATTCGCTATTCAGAGGCGTTAGAGAGAGTTTCAAAACTAGAAGGTAGTTCTTTAAATTTCACGTTTAGCGTCGACAACCTATATGACGACAACTTTAACTCGAATTAAATAAAACCACTGATTAAATTTATGCACCTTCTGATATTAAAAAGGAGAAAAATATGTATGTAAGGCCGACCAGCTAGCCAGCGGAGCTAACGTAACTTATGTTATACTTCCAAAAAAGTCTGAAAGGTATAAATTTAACCGAGTTTAACGAGCACAGTTTGACTCCTTCGGAACATAATTAGTTATTTACGAACGAGTTTACTATCACTTCTTATAATACATATACGTATTGCCTAGCTTTCGAACTTTAGAGACATGTCCAATACCATCCACATTGCTCCTTGTTTAATATTACCGAGCTTGATGTATGGCTATAGAAAAAAACCTAGATCAAAGTAAAAACCATCAGAGTTCCTAAATTTCGTTTGATTGAGTGTAAGTTGGGAGGATCACGTTAAGCACAATCAACAATTGTTATCAGATATACCGACCACTAAAAATTTAAACATTCTGACTCCTGCGGGTTAGAGATTCAAGAATGTACCTGCGGTAAGGCATATCTGCCGTAAGAGGCGACTTAAATCCAAAATCCACCACGACAATCGGGTTGTTCATATCGAAACGAGTGTCACTCCTGCCATAATCCGTGTAAACCAATTTGAGTAAGATTTTTGTGGTTACCACAACAACAACAACCATAACAACAGTTTACACATTCCCCGCTTGCATAATATATTTTTTTTTTGGTGTTTCCCCCATAACCTCGCTATTCATAGCATAATAAAAGTAGAAAAACTCATAACATTATTTTATGCTTATTTAAGTGAAAATGGAAATAAACATATTCCGTTTTATAAGTAAATGTTTGTAATGAACCCCATAAAATATTCACATATCCTTTTATGCATGTGAATCCTTTTGATTTATATTATAACCGCCTTCCACTTTAAAGCTCTATTCTAGCGCCGCCACTACCATTACACAGTGAGTTGTGCCTGTTGGCGAAAATCTCGCGCGAGAGAGGGAGAGAGTGAGTATTTCATAACTTTTTATCTTCCCACAATTAGCGTAATAAAAATTCACATATCATTTTATTCGTTGTAATTCTTTTTATGTGTCTAACACGGTTAATAAACATTTCGCGTCTTTTATTGCTAGACTGACGACTCCAAAGACGCTCTCTATGCTTATCTTCTTCCTTAAAGGATGTAAATATTACTGAAACAGTGCATCTACTCGTATGTGTGTGATGGTTTGGTTTGAGTTGTGGCGGATGAATGGAGATTAGGTTTTTCTTTCTTTTGTTCGCTTGGTGTAGTTAAATTAAAAAACGTGTAAAAGTATGGGGGGCCAGTAAGGTATGTGAGTTTGTGCTCAATGCTCAAATGTGTTAAGGAAATTTAATTTCTTAGATAATACTAGTGGCCGTGATAGCCTTGTGGTTAGCATTGCGTACTGACATTCGGAAGGCTCGGGTTCAAATTCTGGTGTCGTACTAACATCCCAAAAAGGTCATAGAAGAATTTCTTTAAATAAAAAATTAAGTCAAATTTTCTAGTTGCGGTCATGAAATAAAGCTCCTCATAAAAAACCATCAGCCGTTCGGAGGCGGCTTAGTATAAACTGTAGGTCCCTTCATTCGCGGGAAAAACAAACGCAGTCGCAAAACCACAAATTGAAGGGAGCTGGGCCGAAAAATCGCTTCAACGGTTACAAAGCACCAATTATATATAATACTCAACTGTACTAAAATTTGGTTCTCACAAATTGTAGCTAACGGCACTCTAGTTCTTCCTATCTGCATCTGTAACTTGAGTATGATTTTTCCAGAAAATCTGTCTGGTATTTAAAAATCGATTGTCAGATAGCTCGTGTGTCAGACGTTTTAAAATAATCTGACAAACCTGCTTCCTCTTCCTTTACTCGTCTCGCTCTAAGTTAAGCTGAAGTGGCTACTGGGCACACAAACGGGCTCCTTATGATACAACTAATGATCCCATTAACCTCTACTTGCTAGTCAAACCATCTTGGGGAGCTTACAAAACAAAGCTGTTGTATCAAGTAATTTTGCAGCCGCTATCTCACTCAATTTTCTTAAGTTTGTTGCGTCTAAAGACTTCAGTTCATTCCTCAAAAGTGCATTGCATTCGCAGGGGAATCGCCTTAAAGTTTCTCTACAACTCCCACAGGAGTAATTTCATGTCCCATCGTCTATCTACTAGAAAATATATCTCGTAAGAAGAGCCATCATTGTAGATATTTCCTACGTTTTTAGTAGGATAAGCTCCCTCGTTGTTCATTTATTCCATGCCGGTGATATTACACTAGATACATGGCTAGGGTTGAGACCTATATTGAGTAAGCTCCTGCTTACAAGTAGCATGGCAAGTTCGCTCGCCATCTCGTTACCCGGCATGTTATTGTATTCTGGTATCCATACTAGGTTCAAGGAAACTACTTAGCATCCCATAACATATAGACAATTGACAGGCTCATTATGGCCAGCAGTTCAGCCTGAAAACCCCTACAGTTATCCGGTAGTCGAAAGCACTTGCCGATTCAACTACCGACCGTGTGTTCCAGTTTTGACCCATCCGTATAGAAGCGGTAAAGTTTATTTTAATTTCTTTTATACAGATAAGGAAGTCGACATTTGCTATTGTCTTTCTATAGAGAGAGTAGGTTCTTGCCTCCATTGAGTAGGTTATTTGTGTTCTTTGTGCTCCTCGACCTAACCCAACTATTTGCTTGATTTGA